GTTACATTGTGCAGTTGTCAAGTTAAGTTGTCCAAATTCGTAGTTAAAAATGCAATTAATTTGGCTTTGGTGGTGCTTGGATGAGTAAAATCATATAAAAAAAGTAGTTAAATATAGGTGCTTTACGGCCCAGAAGAGAAAGTATTCCTAGCGGATAATAATCTTCGCTTTGAAAAAAATTTATATAAAAGAAATTAAAATTGAATGTGAACGTAAATGTTGTCCAATGGTGAATAATGTAAAAATAATATAGTAATGTAATATTTATTTATGAAACCAAATTCGTTACTTTTTTACTCTAAAAATGTCAGGCGATGTACTTTTTCTTCCATTGTGGCATTTGCCATAATTTCATCAAAATGAAGTTTTGTCCTCAAAAGGGCTTTTACATTCAAATTGGTTGCTATTTTGGCATTTTGGCATAATTATCTTTTAATTATCAATAATAAATATTATTGTCAATTTGACAGTGTCAAAGTATTTAATTAAATTCTTTAACAGAAGAACCATTTTTAAATACTAAAAATACTAAGTCAAACTGGCATAAGCCACCAACCTAACAAAAAAACACGAGTCCAGATAAAAAAAATGAACTGTAGATAGATGTTTATTATTTTATGCACGATGACATTATAATATGACAATTATAACAAAAATTCTTTGACGTAAACGTCTTTTTATAGCCCGCGGGCGTTATTATGACCCAGCGGGCTATAATGAAACGTCAAAAATTAAAAACAACAATGTTACACCATTTGATATATTCAAAGTAAGTTTTTTCGTATAAAGATTTTGATTTTTCCGGCAGCAGCCCGCAATTTTTCGCCTTTTCAGCTGCTTCCTCAATTTCATTCATCTTTAAACTTTAAAACTGACTGATGTCAGTTGACATTATTATATGACAATTATAACAAAAATTCTTTGACGTAAACGTCTTTAAAAACAATAATATATTAAAAATAATAATATATTAATCGTGCATAAAGTTTTGTATGCATTGCTGGCATAACTGGTTTTTATGGTCCTACGACGCTTTTGAAATAGCGCCTCGGACCATAAAAACCTTATTATGCCCTTAATACATAAATAACTATTACAACCAATTTTAAAAACAAAAAATATTTAAACTAATTATATGCAAAAAATATAAAAAAATTACTATTATCTTTACCAAGAATAACAAACGCCAAAGTCTTGCTTGTTTGCGTACAAGTACAAAAAAATGTATACTGTTTACAGTATTAAAAAAAATACAAACAAAGATTTATTTTATTACAATAAATTGCAGAAAACAAAAATAATATTTTCCAGGAAAGGGTATTAATTAAATAAGTAGAGTTATCTTAAAAAAACTAAATATGTTTGTTAAAAGTATATATAATAAAGAAAAATTATCTCTTAGGTTATTGGGAACTTAATTATACAAATTTGTTAAATTAAATGTAACATTTTTTACATTTTGGTAATTTTAAATTTTTATTAACAGCTGAACTGGTTGAATATTTATGTTGGGGGATAATTATGATATTTTATCTCCACGCGGTCTATAATTTAAACTTTATTGTTGTCAACATTATGAGGCAAGTAATTAGTATATTTTTTCTCGCTAGGGGTATTGTTTTGACAAATTAATCCTTTCCTAAGAAATTAACGTACTAAACTGGTTTAATTTATTTATAATAAGCACTAATTTGTTTGTTTTACTATTAATGTTTAATATTTTTCATTAAATTATTGTAAAATTAAATATGAATAATAAAACAAAAAGTGAGGTTAGGCAACCAAGAAAACGCGCGATTCTTTTCCTACGATTTAAATTATCTTTAAGTTTTCAGTGAAATTAAATGTTAAACACAGCTTAAACATTCCAAACTACCTATTTTTTAAATAAAAATAAAAAAAAAATTGAAATTACATACCTACCTATTTATTAAACAATTAATTGAATTCAATGTAATAGCAAAAATCCATTTCTACTTAAATCATGTTGCTAGGTATTGTCAAACTATTACTGCTTCTAAAATCAATAATAATTATTGTACATTTAATGTAATCTTTAGCTAATAAATAAATGAGATTCTAAAATAGGTTAGGCCGCTTTGATGTTGAATTAAATTGACCTATATAAAGTGCTTTGAAGATAAAGTGTTGTATGCCATTCGGCCAAGAAGTGCCTTTATGTGCTTCGCTCAATTGTAGGCCTCCGCTACGCGTCTGCCTTCAAACCTTGAGCTTAGCACAAAAAGCCTTACTTCTTAACCTAATGACATAAATAACTATTGTAGAAAAAATATAGAATGCAACTCGTTTATAAACTTTTCTAGATACTTATTAATTTAAAACTCGCTTGCAAGCTCGCTCGTGCCTAAATTAAATTTGTGTTGTAGGCGTTTATCAAATTTAAACATAATTTACGATTAAAGTATTAATAATTGTTATTTTGTGTAAAATAATACCGGGCATTGTTAATGGTGAAAATTAAGTCAAAAATGTCCTTTATTTTCGTATAGATGTCGCTCTATACAAATTTTTGATTTAAATCATTTTAAGATAATAACACTGTGCGACAAATTTTGACCTAACAATTTGAACTGGGATGAAATGTGGAAAAATCGAATCTATGCAACCCCTAAAACTAATCTTTAAAGGGGTTTTGCAAGTTTAGCTCGAATAATGGAGATATTCAGGGTGTTTTTTTTAACTTGAGACAGCTCAATATCTCGAGAAATACGCATTTCACGGAAAAATGTCTTAAATAAAAGGTTAATGTGACCAAAGGGGACATTATTTGGTGCTATCGCTAGCCACCCCCTACCCCTCCTTAAGGGTGAAACGGGGGGTAACTTTGGAAAGTCAAATGGAATGACCCGATTTTTTTCACAGAGTTTGGTAGTACATAAAAAATGAATAACTTTTATTTGAAAGTTTTTTCAATTTATCAACAGATGGCGCTGTAATTCAAAATTTAAGAAAAAGGGGTTTCCTTGTAAAATGTTTTATTTGAAACGTTTGAAAAACAAAAATTAACATTAAATCAACAATAGTCGGCTCTGAAAACAATTTATAACAAATGTTCGAAATGTCGTTCTTCCATTTCGACACCAAGTGGAGCACCAGCGTCCCTGGTCGGTAAACGTTTGGTGCGGTACCTTAAGCGAACGATTAATCGGACCCTTCTTTATTGACGGTGCATTAAATGGCGAAAAGTACCGGAATTTTCTAGAAAACGATCTGACGGACCTTTTGGATGATGTACCACTAGCACGGCTCCAAAACATGTGGTACCAGCAAGATGGTTGTCCTGCACATTATTCGACAATTGCTCGAGAGGTGTTGGATCGGGAGTTCAATGGCCAGTGCACCGCGGTGGATCGGTAGACGTGGTCCAGTAATTTGGCCTGCTCGATCACCTGATCTTACGCCACCAGACTTCTTCCAGTGGGGTTACTTGAAAGAAAAAGTTTACGCTGCAATTCCTACAACTTGGGAGGACATGGTGGAGCGGATCAGGAACGCCTGTGCGGCGATACCGCCCGATATGTTGGCGCGTTGTGTGCCAGAATTCATTACCCGCATTCAAAAATGTGTTGAAAATTTCAACTTGAAATGGAATGACGACATTTCGAACATTTGTTATAAATTGTTTTCATAGCCGACTATTGTTGTTAATGTTAATTTTTGTTTTTCAAACGTTTCAAATAATACATTTTACAAGGAAACTCATTTTTCTTAAATTTTGAATTACAGCGCCATCTGTTGATAAATTGAAAAAAAATTTAAATAAAAGTTATTTATTTTTTTTATGTACTACCAAACTCTGTGAAAAAAATCGGGTCATTCCATTTGACTTTCCAAAGTTACCCCCCGTTTCACCCTTAAGGAGGGGTAGGGGTTGGCTAGCGATAGCACCAAATAATGTCCCCTTTAGTCACATTAACCTTTTATTTAAGACATTTTTCCGTGAATGCGTATTTCTCGAGATATTGAGCTGTCTCAAGTTAAAAGAAACACCCTGTACATATATATATGTATATCTCCATTATTCGAGCTAAACTGGTAAAACCCCTTAAAGGATTTGTTTTGGGGGTTGCCTAGATTCGATTTTTTCAGATTTGATCCCAGTTCATTTTTTGTGTTGCACAGTGTAATAAGTATTTGTCGTAGAAAAAGTATAGTGTGCTTTGTTTATAAACTTTTTCTAGGTACTTATTTAATTAAGCACTCGCTTGCAAGCTCGCTCTTGAATAAATTAAATTCGTGACTAAAATTATGTTTATAAAATTTGATACATAATAGTCTATTAATGCCATTAAAACTACCCACATTTAAAACTTTCGCGCTATCAAAAAGTTTTTGGTTTTGTTATTAGACAATGTCAAGATTTTACTGATATCCATGCTATTCTTATTCTTTTTAATTCTTTGTCTCGTAGCATTTTAAAATACGCATCAGTTATATGGAGACCCTCACAACAGTGTTATATTAACTTGATTGAAAAACCTCAGAAAAAAATTGTGAAATTTTTGCTATTTAAACTTAAGATTTCGGATGATATTAGTTATAATCATAAGTTATCCTCGCTAGAAACACGGAGTATAAACTTTGATAAAATTTTTATGTTTAAGATATTTAATAATTTGATTAACTGTTCTGATATATTGAAACTATTTTCTTTACGTGTACCTACCATCAATACTCGAAGTAGTGCATTAATACATATTCCATTGTGTAGAACTAATTACAGGCAATTCAGTTGTGTGCCCAGATTGGCACGTAATCTGAATTCCTGTAATATCGATATTTTTAATATAAGCTTGTTTTCTTTTAAAAAGTACCTTATTAATAATAGTTAATTATATGTTTGTGTATTATATATATTTTTTCTTCTCTTTTTGTTTTGATATAAGTATTCTTACTGTATCTTTTTTTTGTACTACTTGGATTTTCTCTGTATGTACTAAATAAATAAATAAATAAATAAATAAAATTATCTGTTTTAGCACGGCACAGTGGCGACTTCTAGCGAGACGAGCGTCGGGACGCAGCCCGGCGGCAGCGTGACCTCGAGGACGGCGTCGGAGACGCCGCAGGTGCCGTCGTCGGCGTCGTCGCATCACCACACGGGCGCCAAGTTCCGCCACGGCCTGCTGCAGCTCATGATACACACCATAGACCCCCTTCACGATGGTCAGTATGCAGGTAGTCCCACGTCATTTTTTATCTATATATGTTGGTGGTATTATTCGTTTGTACGTTGGTTTATTGTGTTTATGGTGTGCGTTGTTTCTACGGGGTGTTTGGCAGGACGTTGGCGAACCTTTTAGAATGCGATTAAACGATATACAGTACAAAACAGGGAAGAAAAACCTTTATTTCATTATTTCTTAATTTTTGTTATCTTTATTTCTCCATTTTTTTATTATTTGATATCTTCATTTGTTTATTTCTAAATTTTATATTTCTTCATTTTTAATTAGTATTTGTTATTTTTTTAATTTCTTTAAACGGACGCTGGGTCCCTTTATTTCTTAAAACTTTAATTTCCTAATTTCTTATTTGTTTATTTCTTTATTCCTTTATTTGTGGATTTCTTGATTTGTGGATTGTTGATATGCGATTAAACAATAAACAGTACAAAACAGTGAAGATAAACCTAAAAATGTTAATTAATTTCTTATTTTTTTTTATCTTTTATATTTATTTCTCCATTTCTTTATTACTTCATATCTCTATTTTTTTAATTCTTAATTTTAATTCTTTATTTTTTAATTTTTTATTTCTTCAAATGGATACTAGGTCCTTAAATGTTTAATATCTTAATTTCTTGTTTTATTTGTTTTTTTGTTTTCTTATTATTTATTTCTTTATTTCCTTATTCCTTCATTTTTAAATTCTTGATTTTGTGATTTCTTATTTTCTTATTCTCTTATTTTCTTATTTTCTTGATTTCTTTATTTCTCGATTTCTTGATTTCATAATTTCTTTATTTTCTTGATTTCCTGATTTCTTGATTTCTTGTTTTTTTATTTCTTTATTCCTTTATTTGTTGATTTCTTGATTGTTGATATGCGATTAAACAATAAACAGTACAAAACAGGAAAGACAAACCTAAAAATGTTAATTAATTTCTTATTTTTTTTATCTTTTATATTTATTTCTCCATTTCTTTATTGCTTCATATCTCTATTTCTTTATTTCTTTATTTGTTGATTTCTAATTATTTTAATTCTTTATTTTTTATTTTTTTTATTTCTTCAAATGGATACTAGTGGTCTTGATTTCTTAAATGATTAATATCTTAATTTCTTGTTTTATTTGTTTTTTGATTTCTTATTGTTTATTTATTTATTTTCTTATTTTTTGGTTTTTTAATTTCCCGATTTCTCGATTTCTTGATTTCCGGATTTCTGGATTTCTTGATTTCTTGATTTCTTGATTTCTTGATTTCATGATTTCATGATTTTTTGATTTCTTGATTTCTTTATTTCCTGATTTCTTATTTTCTTGATTTCCTGATTTCTTGATTTCTTGATGTCTTGATTTCTTGATTTCTCGATTACATGATTTCTTGATTTTTTGATTTCTTGATTTCTTTATTTCCTGAATTCTTATTTTCTTGATTTTCTGATTTCTTGATTACTTTATTTGTTGATTTCTTGATTTCCTGGTTTCTTGGTTTCTTGATTTCTTGATTTCTTGATTTCTTGATTTCTTGATTTCTTGATTTCTTGATTTCTTGATTTCTTGATTTCTTGATTTCTTGATTTCTTGATTTCTTGATTTCTTGATTTCTTGATTTCTTGATTTCTTGATTTCTTGATTTCTTGATTTCTTGATTTCTTGATTTCTTGATTTCTTGATCATCAATATTGTTTTTTTAGGTTTTATCTATTTAAAACATAGTAATCAATATTATACAGAAATAATTTAATTAATGTTAAAAAAATTCATCAATATTGTTTTTTTTATAGTAGTCATTAATATACCGGGATCCAACTATTGTAAAAAAATTCGAGCGTAAACATTTGGTATTATTACACAAATTAGGTTTAATGTAAAAAATGTTCAGACAATGGTTTCATTAGAAATTAATATTTCATATTAAGTAAAATGCATTTTTTACTTTTACAATACGATACGATGCGATTGGTAACATGATATGCAACAATTGATTATCACCACAATTACGTAACTGGTTAATTGATTGTTATCTATTGACATTACACCATAGACAATGATTAACAGAGAAGATTCAAAATTAGATTCCGTCACAGCATTTTTGTTTGATATTACCTAATATACATTTCTTTAGTGAATAGTCCTCACCAAGTATTGTAATATGTATATTATGTTTGGAGAATGCTTAAAATGTCAAAAATGTAACTAAGTGTGCGTCGTACACTGTGCATGTCAATGTTATGTTAATTTGTTTAGTTTATCCTCATAGATTTAATCTGTGGTTTTATTAATTCCTGACAGGGACTTTCAGTAAAAGTAAAAGTAAAGAATTTAATATTAAACTTTTTAAACCAGTCTATATGATTCCTTATAAATGAAAAGCCAAATTTAAAAGATTTGTTTCTTTAATTTACCAATTTTTTGTTGTGTTTTTTAGTTTCGTCAAAAATGTCAGTTGAATTTTTTAAATTCCCTGTAAAAATACCAAAATACCTGTAAAATTGTACGAGGTAAATAAACTAGTTTTTAAGTTTTCCACTGCTTCCCAGCTTTGTACTAAATAAAGTGTGTTAAAAATTCTAAAATATAATTATGTTAACATCTAAAAGGATTACGACGACTTACCAAATACCCTATATAGGCGTTTTTGGAAGCACAAGTGATCAAGTAGCTGTTTAAAACAAAAGCTTTTTTTGATAAAGTAAGTTTCCAAAAACTGTCTCTTATGTCATTCATTATGCTCGCAAAGTAAAGATTTGATAAAATATAAGTGTGTTTATTCCATAATTTAAAACATTAAAGTTTGTTAAATTCTCGTAAAGAACGTCGACATTATTTTTTGTAATTTACTTTACTAAAGTTTTAAAAATGGCGAATGCACCGGGCTTAAATTTTATTAAAAAGTTTATGGGATTTACACAATAAAAATAACAGATAAATTGAAAATTAAGTAATAAGAAATAATACATATTATTTTAATAGTATTTTATTATACGAGAGATTTTCACGAGTTAGTAATGCGCATAATCGAGTGTAATACTATACTTTATCTACTCCAATTATAATTAAAAATTAAATTTTAAATAATATTACAGTGGCCATCATCTAATTTAAAACCCATCTTAAAATCAGCAATAACTAATGCCTAAAAACGTTAATAATGAGTTTATTATTTCAGTTCATTAAAACCTAATAGTATGGAAAAGGAGTAGATAAATATATATTAATTTCAATTAATCGTTATTTAATATCGTATACTTATGAATTGTTCACATGTATTGACAAATGTTGTTTTGTTAAGTAGGCCCTCTTCTAGAGTATTTAGGTACAGTAGTGTTGCTCTATTATATAGATACAGCGTGGCCAAAGAAAAAGGAAGCAGAATAGTGTTCTGGTAGTAAGCAGTGATTTTTAAACCCCTTCGCACAAAATTTTAATAGGCATGATAGGAAAGTCAAATTCTGTTCATTCGTTGACTCCACATTAAATTGTCTAGGGGAGTCAAATCTGGAGATCTGGCTGGCCAATCCAGAGCTCCCCGTTGTCCAATACATTGTCTAGGAAACATTTGGTCAAAATCTTTCCAACACGTATAGTGTGTAGGTGCTTCATCTTGTTGGAACATTAAATAGTCTTCCAAGAGTCATCGTATTCAACAAAATTGACCAGTAAGGAATGAACTAAATCTTATAGCAATTGCAAATACGTTTCTTCTATCAGGTTACCATCGCCATACTCCAGTCGCACCGTCCTTATTTAATTTATGGACTAAATAAATCATAATAATTATAATAATAATTATATAAGATTTATTTGTTGTTAGGATGTACTATGCTCCACACCTCAAAGTCCCACCACGTGACCACGTACGGAACGCAGTCTTTTGAAAATTTGGCATTTAAGGGTTTTCAGATTATGTATCTGTTAAAGTATAGTCAATGAAATAAATAATATTTATAGTGTTATGTTTAAGCGTTAAAAGTTAATAAATCTTTATAGTATCACAATAACAATGGTTGGTTTAAGAATTTAGGAATACAAATACTGCATTTAATGAAATTCCAAAGTGTAAGGTGCAATATAAGTGATATTTTTGTGCATTGGGTCTACATTTCTCCATAAAATAGTATTAATTAAACAGCATTTATTAAAAAAAATCTAACTTCTCTATTTTGAAATAAGAATATCTGTATCAAAGGTAGGTTAATGTATTAGAACAAAAAATATCATCTAATTTTGTATGTTAAGGTTAGAAAAATCTATTTTGACCAAAATAAATAAGTGGATTATTTGAAAGAGTGTGTTAATATGGTCATAAATAAATATAGGTATACTAAATAATTGTTGGATATAGTTCAAATTAAATTGAAGCTTTTATACTTCTAACGACAAAACTTGTGCATACCTCTCGGCATACTTACTTCTTTAAGTTAGATTATAAAAAAACAAACAATTTTTAGAGAAACTTGCAATGTGAAAATATTTAATACTCTCATGACATGTGATTTATTAAAATTTTTAAAGTTTTAATGATTTTTTAATGTAGATCAAATTCAGTAAAAGCTTTTTAACTATTTGTATTGATAATACTTTATGTAGGTACACTTTAAGCTGTATAAGAAAAACTACCACATTTTTACCATATTATACAGTATTTTAAATAATCCAAAATACTTATTTATTTTGTTCAAAATAAATTTTTCTAACCTTAAAATTACAAAATTAGATGATATTTTTGTTATAATATATTAACCTACCTTTAATACAGATATTCTTACTCCATAATAGAGAAGCTAGATTTTGTTAAATAAATGCTGTTTAGGTAAAATTATTTTATGGAGAAAACCAGATTTTTGGACCAAATGCACAAAAATATTTCTTATTTGGCACGATACACTTCAGAATTTCATTAAATGCAGTATTTATATTCTTAAATTCTTAAACCATTCATTGTTATTGTAATGTTATAAAGATTTATATATTTTTAACGCCTAAACATATTATTTCTTTCGTTGACTATACTTTGACAGATACATAACCTGAAAAGCCTTAAATGCCAAATTTTCAAAAGACTGCGTTCCGTACGTAATCACGTGGTGGGACTTTGAGGTGTGGAGCATAGTAAATATCTTTTATAGTTTTACAA